TTATTTTTTTTAAAAAAGTACTTTAACCTGTATAAATAATGTAAAATTAAATTGAGTTAAACAGCCAATCATACGAAAGTCTTTCTATGAGGGATAAAAGGGATGGTTCTTATTTACGGTAGGACACGGTAAGGTTATTTTAAACTATATCAAAGATCAGCAAATACGTACGTATACTTTACGTACGTACGTACGTGCATACAGCAATTATTTCAATTAATTGGATAATTGTTTGCTGCATCACCAATTAGTTAATTGAGTTCAAATAATTGCCTCCACAATCAATTATTTGGTAAGCTTGTTCAACTACCTCGAATTTTTCTGCAATCACGTGAATTTCATAACGATTCAATTTGTTGTGCTTAAGATATGAATTTAGCTTTAGCAAAATATAAATTCAATTTTTGGCGATTACATTTATTACATTTGAATAGTTTGATATCGGCTTTATTTTATACAAATAAAACATAATGTAACTATATGAGAATAATAATTCTTCGATAGAAATTACCAAGACATCGTTTTCTCAAAAGTAACTTCAGAAACTCCATCAAATACTTTATTTTGTTGCATGTAACCATCATTTTCACATATTGTATTTTTGTTAAGAGAAATATTGCACTTGAAATTTGTTTAATTCATTTCCATGCTTATTTTAATAATTTTATTAGATAACGATAGCTGTCATACCATCTCATTTAAATCCACTAAGTGTTTATCCGTTGTCTGACCGATATGAGGTCTTTCAGAACACTTTAATCTAATCACACTACAAATCACTATCGAGAGGAGGCGTATTATATTTGGCGAGTGGATAATTCGAGGCTTCAGTTGTCAACACCTCGGGGGGTACTCCTTATCAACAATAACAATAATCACAGTTATCCACGGTACGTTGGGATACTGGAAAACAGTAACCACGGCTTGAGTTCTTTCACTTATAACCCAGAACAGGAACTCCACAATGATCCCCAATTAACCACAGTAAGTACGTCGCAATTGGAAGCAGTAACCACGGCAATCCTCAGAACGTCGAGAAAACAGCCGGATAGCGTAACTGTAATCACGTGAGCAAGAAATACAACTAACGATCGTACCACTATGCCACTTAGTAGTAGGCCGGGATAGTTTATTTAGAGACTGTGGGGGAGTAACGAAATAATTATGAATTACCAACGATTTATGGATTAGTCAATATCTATATCATTCGTTAGGGCGCAAGGCCTTTATTATATATTTTCTGATTACATATGGGTTGTTGCCCAGCAAAACCATGCTTAG